AAAATGTTTTTTTTTTTTTTTTTGATGATGCTCAAACAGGAGCAAAAGGAGAAATAGTTATTTGGGAGGAAGCAACTCAATTTGAGAATGTTGTAATCCTTCCCTGGTCACACCTATCTATAGATTTTTGGCCCGAACTTGGGGTAAATGGGTCTTTTTGTTGATGATACGTGGCAGCTGTTGATAGTTTAACTTATAACTGAATCTGTTATTCATTCATGTTTTATTCACCGATTTGTGCCTCCCCTATTTGATAAAGTATTTGGCTTGCTTTTTCTTATTCGAGGTCGCTTGAGACTTCGCACTATTAATGTTCGCCAATTTACCTGTTGGTTTGGTTACGATTCTTTGTCAAAATTTATTAACAATTGGATTGGTCAAACCAACTCGGGTTAAGTCATTACTCCCAACGAGAGAGGATGAATGTCTTGGCCTTTTTTTACCTAACACCACGTGTGCCTGAGAGAGGGGGTTCGGTGCTACTTGTAGCTTAATAAAAAAAATGAAGTACAAGAGAGATGGAGGAGACCTAAATACTAAACACTAGAATTACATAAGGAGAAGAGTAAGATGAATGCTTAAATGAAAACGTGGAGATACTATCTCTATTACACATAAACACAAGTAGTAACATAACAATCTTTGTCTTCACTTACTGACATACGGAATCTGCAATCTGTCCAACCAAAGCAACCCACGTAATTTTGTCTCTAACCAATGATGACTACATTGCTGCCCTCTTCATTAACCCCAATATTTGCAAGATGGTCTGCCACAACATTCCCCTCACTTCTATACAACATGTATGCCAACAAATCCCTAACAGCTGGAATGATACTCTGTAGATACTGACTGTATAGCAATAGAGGATCCCTTTCCATTCAAATCTTATAAAATCCATGAAGATGAGATTCTTTAGCCCAGTAAGAGGCACTCTAAGTCGGCTTCATTGTTTGAACAATGGTCATAACTTTTATAAAATGCCATTACCATTTTCCCATCATGGTCTCGAATATGTCAGCTTAGAAATGCATATAAGGGCAATGGGCATACTGGAATAACACAATCAAAGAAATCATTTGACATATAGTTAAGTTAAAGCTGTTTTTCAGTTTCAGTTTCTCTATCCTTACAGGGCCTTCACAACGATTTCCTCCAGCAACATAAGTGGGGCTGAGTTCTGATATTGATGACAAATAGATGGACCTTTCAATCTTGTGATACTTCTGCTGAATAATGAGCCAAAAAGAGTTGAAAGAGGTTGAAGGAACAATAAGAGGAGAGAACGTGCGACTAGAACTCTACGTGTTTCTTTCTCTCTCTCACTTTCTTTTTTTGTTGTGGTCAGAGGAGGCGTGCAGAAAGTAGAAAATGCACATTTTCAATGCTAAAACAAAGGAGTAGAGTGTCAAGATGAGTGGTGATGAATTTGGATTAAGATTAGGCTTATTCTTTCTCTAATTACCTGTAGACAAGAAATGGAAGAAACTGAATGCAATGTCACAAATAGACCTCAAACTTATTTTAGATTCACATATTTATAAATTATACATCCAAATTACTTATCAAAAAAAAAATTTATAAATTATACATTGAGAATATCAGTTGCCTATACTTTTCTAGAAAATGAGCATTAATTTGATGTTCTACATTGTCAACAGGTATTTGACTTGTGGAAGTCTATGGAAAAATCAAGAATCAATGAAGCCAATTATGAGAAGATCATAGAGATTTTAGTTAAGGAGGGACTAGTAGAAGAAGCTGAAATATGTCTAAGAGAAATGAAATGCTATGGACTTCGACCTTCTATTGGAATATACAATTCTGTAATTCATGGCTTCGCTAGAAAGGGGAGTTTCAACAATGCTATGTTTTATCTCAAAGAGATGGAAGACGTTGGTGAGAAGCCAGATTCTGAAACGTATGATGGTCTAATACAAGCTTATGGGAGCTATAAAATGTATGATGAGATAGATCAATGTGTACGGGCAATGGAGTCTACTGGATATTTATGTGATCATATCACTTTTAATTTGCTCGTTAGAGAATTTGCAAGAGCTGGATTGCTCCAAAAGATGGAAAGTATGTATAACAGTCTCTACAGTAGAAGAATAGGTTTGCAAGCTTCTACTTTGGTTGCAATGCTTGAGGCATATGCAAAATTCGGGATCTTGGACAAGATGGAAAAGATGTATCGACGGATTTTGAACTCAAAGTCTTCTTTGAAAGAGGATGTAATTCGAAAATTAGCAGCAGTTTACATTGAGAATCGTATGTTTTCTAGATTAGAAGGTTTGGGACTTGATCTTTCTGCAAAAACTGGTTGCACTGATCTAGTATGGTGTTTGCGCATTCTCTCACATGCTTGTGTTTTGAGTAAAAAAGAAATGTATTCCATTATCCAGGAGATGGAATCACACGAAGTGCCGTGGAATGCAACTACTGCAAACATTCTCTCTCTAGCTTATTTGAAAATGAATGATTTTAAGCATTTGAAAGTATTGCTTTCAGAACTACCATCTCGTTATGTAAAACCTGATTTAATCACTGTTGGAGTCCTGTTTGATGCGTGCGTATTAGGATTTGATGGGGCATCTGTTAAAAGTACTTGGAGAAAAATGGGATTTCTTGATGATGATGTGGACGTGAACACTGATAGTCTTGTTCTCTCTGCATTTGGTAAGGGACAATTCCTTATAAGTTGTGAGCAGATGTACAGGTCCCTCAACATCAAAAGTAGGACGAAAGAAGCATGGACTTATGGCCGACTCATCAGTTTGGTAATTAAACTGAACAGGGATCAAGTGGGGAGTTGAAGCAGATTTAAACAACATTCTGATTTCACCATGAAATAACAGTCTTAGAGTGGATGGAGTACCGGACTGGAAACAGGCTACATGCCTTTCTAGTCACTGGAGAAAATCTCTCCAGTGCATTGAGGCTTCTGGTTAATGATCTGTTCCACCTAGAAACTTTGGCATAATTTTGTAGTCATCGAATTTATCCTGAAGACAACCCCTCTGTGTTGAAGGCAATTGCACTCATTGGAAGACCGTTAGGACTTACAAGTAAGGCTGATAATTGCTTTCGCTTACCTTGAGAGATTATATTCACGGGTTTACCAAAATGCTTCCTGTGCTGATGTTTTAGTGCTTGGCTTCTGCTAGTTGAGGAGAGATTGCTCGTGATTATCAATATCGCATACTGCATAGAATTTGAGGATGGACAATGCCATTCTTTTATTAGGAGTGGACAAACGAATTGTTTTACACAAGTAGCTTGGAGTTTGTGCTCTAGTCTGTGACTTAGAACAGGAGGGAATTGAGCCAGGATGTAAATGGCAAAAGAAAGCTCAAGAATTTTCTGAACTGCAACACCTTATTTGTCACAGACTGTATCCCTATCAGTTTAATTTTCTGCAGACCTCTTTGATGATCCTTTCGAGAAACAGTTTCTGAATACTAGCATTTTACTTCTACACCTGAAATGGGATTGCTTTTCCAACAATTGGTTTCAACTCCCTTTTTTGCTGTGGTGAACATATAGAGATGGTCAGTGCTCTAGCCACCATCAGTAGACCACTGCCTCAGTGCCTCCCCCCTCCAGTGTAAGAAAATAAGAAGAAAATGACTGGCATATTCACATATGCTGACAAATAGGCACTTTGGCTTCCAGATTTGCTCAGAGTTGTATCTGCTAGAAGATAAGGCTGTTGTACACACAGATAGCCAAATGCTCTACACCATAGTAGAAATTCTGTGTTCCATGATATTAGAAAGATGCTGAACTCAAATATGAAATGGGAGCACAAGGTCGTTTGAGTTGGTCCTGTGTGGGTTATTGGCCATGTTGTATGAGTTAGTAATTTCAAATACCGGTGGACCAATAAAAAATCTATGCATTGTCTGATAATAGTTGAATCTTCTTCATTGCATATTACTGTGTAATGAGGGTCGGTTTTCGCATATGGAATCTATCTTTACGTAAAGAAGATGAGTCCTCAAAAATTTAGATTCCTTGTTCCTCCTTGAAGTTTGCAACTCCATTGCTGTAATTTCTCTTTTTGAAATTTGAAATTAAAACTGAGAGCCAGTTAGTTTTATTGAAAAATAAAAAACATATCTAAATAATGTACAAATGTATAATTTAAATATTTTTGACTGACATGTCCGTATTCTACTAATATTAGTTGTCATCTGTATGTATCAATATACGTAATTCATTTACATCCATGCTTTATACCCTACAAAATCTCGTGTTTGAAAACACTTGGACCATTATGAGTTAAGATTGGGATCATTGTCGAGAAACTTTGTCAAATTCAAGTTAAGATTTGACAATGAAAACAAATAGTCGATCATATGGTATTATTTGCTTGCCACGGTACTACATATTATGAACGTCGAGAGCATTGGAACCATTTAAAATTTTAGATTATTCAGAATCATTTTCTAACTTGAGTCGAATGCCTGAAAATGATTCTCTATTTTATTTGGCGCAATTATTGAACATTCAGAATATGTAGATTAAACAACAATTGACTAGAACATTTAGGCCCCGTTTGATTGACTTCTTTTTCCATGGAAGTAGGAAAATTTTTTCCGTTTTCCATCTTTTACGTTGTTTGATAGCTTAAATTTTCCACGGAAAATATTTTCCTCCCCAACCCGCCACGTCAGCATTTTCCATGTTTTTGAGGAAAAAATTTTCCCATCTTTTTGGTGAGAAAATTTTTTCCAACCGGCTGCTAAAAAAAATTTTTTTTTTTTTTTTTTTTTCAATGGAAACAAATATCATATGGACGGAAGGACGTTTTCCGCAAGAAAATGCAAAGGTAGGGACGGTTTGCACCAAGAATTCATAGGTAGGGACGTTTTCCACAAGGACTGTCATAGGTAGGGACGTTTTGCGCCAATAACCCAAAAACAAATATCATAACCAATTGTAAAAAAAATTTCACTTTAATGGACAATTTTCATGTAAAACAAAGTCAAACGAACACTAAACTTTGATTAAAAAAATGATTTTTTAGGCAAACATGATTTGGTGGAATTGGTTTTCCCACCTTTTTGATGGGAAAATGAATTTCATGTTTCTGTTTTTTATTTTTTTTTTTTTTGCAATGGAAACAAATTTCATAACCAATTGTAAAAAAAATTTCACTTTAATGGATAATTTCCATGTAAAATAAAGTTAAACGAATACTAAACTTTGATTAAAAAAATGATTTTTTAGGCAACAATTTTTTTTTTCCTTTTTTTTTTACTTTTTGGTAATGGAAATAAATTTTATAACCAATTGTGGAAAAAAATCACTTTCATGGACAATTTCCGTGTAAAACAAAGCCAAACGAATAGAAAATTTAAAAATTTTTCGGGTGGAAAATTATACCAATCAAACACATTTAAAATCATTTTCTTTGCCTATAAAACATTTTCTAGGCAAAACTTTTGCCTATAAAACATTTTCTTTCCAACCATTTTTTACATTTGCAATCAAACGCAAGGTTTTTCTCTATTAAGGACTGAGTCGTGAGGACTATCCTTAATCGGGTTCGGGGTTTGTATTGGGTCAACACTTCATCACGTGACGTGAGGGAAGAGAACAGTGTATATGGCAATTCAACCAAAGAGAAAGCTATCACCTAAACTTGACACAAATTCAATTTTCGGACAAAGAAACTGTTTATGTTTCAAAAGAAAGTGAATCCATCCATTTTAATGCTGATATACTAATTATAGGTTTCACGTTGTCACTCAATGAGCAGACACCAGTTCATACTGTCGCTTCTACACAGACACCAGCACCACCGCCGAGCCATTCAACAGTTGCATTCCCTTTTCCTTGTACATGAAATTGAAAATGCTAACATAGTACTCACAGTTTGGAACTCTATAATTAAACACTATTCGCTCGGTTCATTGCCTAATGAAGCTATATTTCTCTTCAAACATCTCATTTACAAATATAAGCCTGTATTTTTTGATAGCTTTACGTACTCCTATCTCATCAAGGCCTGTGCCAATTTAAAACGAACCAGAGTAGGAAATCAGCTGCACTGTTTGAGCGGCAAAGTGGGGTTTGAGTTTCACGTTTATGTGCAAACTGCAGTTGTTAATATGTATTTAGATTGTGGGAGTTTGGTAGAAGCAAAGAAAGTGTTCGATGAAATGCCTGAAAGGAATTTGGTGACATGGAATGTTTTGATATCCGGGTTTTGTAAGTGGGGTGAGATTGAATCGGCAAGGGCTGTTTTTGACGTGATGCCGGAGAAAAATGTGGTTTCTTGGACTGGTTTGATAGATGGGTACACGAGGATGAATCGATTCAATGAAGCATTGTCATTGTTTCAAAGAATGGTTGTGCATGAGGGCATCAAGCCTACTGAAGTTTCTCTTCTTGCCATTTATCCGGCCATTTGGAATGTTAGGTGTCTCGAGTTTGGACAAATGGTTCATTGTTATGGAGAGAAAAGCGGATTGAATGCGTTTGATATTCGTGTCATGAATTGCCTCATAGACGCATATGCCAAATGTGGCAGTATAGAGTGTGCACAGAGAGTTTTCGAAGACATATTAGATGAAAGGAGAAATTTGGTTTCTTGGACATCCATAATTTCTGGATTCGCAATGCATGGAATGGCTAAAGAAGCGTCAGACTGTTATAAAAGAATGGAGAATGAGAGTGTTAAGCCTAATCGGATCACGCTTTTGAGTGTTCTAAATGCTTGTAGTCACGGTGGATTAGTGGACGAGGGGCTCGAGTTTTTCAGAAAGTTTGTTGATAAAAGTGGTATTGCACCGGACATTAAGCACTATGGAAGTTTGATAGACATGTTGGGAAGGGCAGGGAGATTAGACGAAGCAGAGAAGATAGCTCTAGAGATTCCTACTGAGATTGGTAATGTTGTAGTTTGGAGGACACTTTTAGGTGCGTGTAGCTTCCATGGTAATGTTGAGATGGGCCAGAGAATAACACACAAAATTATGGATATGGAGAAGGAATACAGCGGCGATTACGTGCTTTTGTCCAACATATTTGCTGGTGCTGGCAGGTATGAGGATTCTGAGAGAATGAGGAGTTTAATGGATAAGCGAAATGCTTTAAAAGTTCCTGGCCTTAGTCAGCTCTAACTATTAGCTGTTCTTTCTTGCACATTTCCCTCAAGAGATATCTCAACGACTACATCTGTCCAGAATTAATCGTCTTTCATCAAAAGGTGGACAATGACAAGCAATACTGGAGACTAATTACGAGTCAAAATGTTCTTTAAAATGAAATTATACTTCGATAATAAGGCACGTCACCACCATACATGTTCTTACGACCTTGTCGAGACTTGTGTTTTTGACTAACAATGTAGACAAAATTAGTAAAGAAGATAAATGTGGACCATGTGGGGCAACTGCAACAACTATGCTAGGGTGTTTGATTGTAGACAATTTGGAAAACAAGCAGGTTGGTGGTGATCTATTAAACTTGATCCTGATTCTGATGATGTTCAGGATGTGTTACAAATACAAGTGCTATTCATTAAATGTTTTTGTTGATGGAATGGGCAGATATAATCTATCAGAGCACAAGTCGAGGAACTGCAGATACATGAGAAAAGTCTGGCTTATCTTGGAGATATTGGACAGCAAGCATCCTTGAGGTTTTACTTCCCTGCAATTTTTTTGATTGGTCACCTTCTTAATTAGCTTTGTTAATTATAAATCTACTTATCAATTTATATCAGGCATGCTGTCGAGCTGTTATCCCTGGGTGGCAGCATAGTTGCTAAAATGAATGATCGCGGTAATATTTGCAAGGTGCTTAGATATAAGTTGGTTGAGAATTCTTCTGCTAGGCACCTTCAGAGAAATGATATGGTATTTCTCTCAATTGAGTGATATATTTATTTACTTGTTTCCCTGGATTGGTCAAGTACTTTCGATCCTTGGATGTTGCAATTTGTAAGAAAATTAATTTTTTTGTTGGGAAATAACATGAACAAATATCTTATTGGTCATTGCGCTGCTGCAGATAACTAGCTTCAAATTTTATTTATCTTGTTTGGGATTTAGGATTTGGTTGGGGGGTCGGCTACATGTTTGGCTGAGCTTAAAAAGTTTGACTAACAAGTAAATAAGTTTAAAAGACCAAAGATGTCATAAAAATTCAATTAGTTCTTTTTACTGAAATGCTGAATGAAATAATATGAATATAGGTCTTGAAAGTAACCAAGCTAACCACACCGAAAAAAAGTTCCATTTTGGACAATAAAACAGTATTGGATGTTTGTATGTTAAACTGACTCAATATAATTAATGAAAATATACTCTGTTTAATCCATTCAGTTCAATGTAGATGTACACTGCCAACTGAGATTTCTGTGTTAATTAATAAAGTAGAAATTGATTCAAGGTGGAAAATTTTTATTTTCTGATTCCTGTCAAAAGTAGTTGTGTGAATTAAAGAAAATTTTGTTCAGAGTAGTTGTGTCCCAACAGTAAATATTTCCTTTGATATACACGGTACTGTACTTTTTTTCCTATTAGATATTGGTGTAGTTTCCCTCTAAGAAGCATGGATCTGATTCTTATAAATTTATTGTGTAACCGTATTCAATACGTTTCCAAGCTTCAATACACTTGGATGCTCTCTAATACATACCAAATACGTGTTTTTTAATTATCTGATATTTAAATTTTTGATACGTATTGAATACTAGAGTTATAAATTTATTGAGAACTAGAGTTTTATAATTAAAAATAGACAATAGTATTAAATGTTTAAATACATATATAACCGTGTCAATGGTTGACAACTATCATTTTATTAATGAAAGTAGATAATAATATTAAAATTTTTAATACATGTAAAATTTTGGTAACAATTGACAACTATAATTTTATTATTGGAAATAGGTTATGGTATTAAAACGTATATGCGTACCCTAATTTTTGTTTAAAATCTGAATTGGCGTACTCGTATCGTATTATATTGGAGTTACACATCCGAATCCATGCTGCTTACCATGTAGATATCCTTCTTCATCATCCAAGGGCATGTCTTCATACCTCTGAGGGAGGTGCAGTACCTGACAAATAGAAAGAATTAATTGAAATATGTATTTTGTCTTGTACTGATTAATGTCAAGTACAGAAGTTGAATGGAACTGGGAAGGCCGAGGCCTCTGCACTAGTGTGGTTTATAAATAAAGGTAAGAGCTTGTGGAATATCATGTCACTTCAATACACAGAGAAGGATTAGTAATAATACTCGAATATGAAATCACATTTTCTAAAGTTGTAGGCTTGTAGCTGTGTGTTTGAGTTATTGATGGACCAATGAAAGATCTCTGTGTGGGATGATACTGTTGAATCTTCTTCGTTCTTTGATTTTCTTCACAATTGCAATCCATATTTTTGAAGTTCTTAAAATTTTAGATTCCTACTGCTCATGTATTGTAAGGATTGAGGGTTTTGATTCTTGAGGGTCTCAAAGTCCGTGTATGTAATTCTGTTTACTGGTGTTTCTTGTTCCTCCTTGTACTTTGCAACTAAATTGATATTGTGCAGAGAACTTTGGTCGGAGCTCCGGTGACACCTTCACAGTACCAGCTAGTACCCATGTACTTGTCCTCTTTTTCTTGCTTCAAATTTTACTTCTGCGTTGGGTTGATTGGTACCTCGTTCTTTAGGAATTGCAGCACCTACTACTATATATGCAAATTTTTATACATGCATATTTTTATCTTATGGGGCTGAGGGCATTCAATTATTTCGTTGGCTTGTCATTTTAGGTGACATTTCCTAATAATATTGGATCGAGTTTGGCCAACCAAGGTTGCGTATTGAGAATTTCAAAAGTAAAAATTTTAAAATTTGAGAAAGACTGTTAAATTTATTGTAAAATAAAAACATATTAAAATAATATTGTACAAATGTACAATTCAAAGGATTTTACATTTAAATGTACTTCATAGTCTATATCTGGTGTGTCTTACTCTACACAAGTCTCATGTTGAAAATACTTTGACCATTATGAGTTAAGACAGAAATAGCCAAATGTTCTTTAGTCCATTGTTGAGATATTTCCTCAATTTCGAGTTAGGTTTGACAACAAAAAGAAACATAGTCGATCTTATGGTATCATACGTGCTACACAGTACTACATATGATGAACAAGGGTATTAGTATATGTATTGGCACGTTGGTCTTGTTGTCAAAGAAACCCTGAAAAGATCAAAATCGAACATCTGTACTTGGGATGAATGCTTGAATGAGGTTCTCTAGAACAATTATGTCATGTTTTGGTAAATAAATTGAACACTTGACATCACATTAAGGAAGAAAATGAAATCATGTCATCCAATACATTATATTGAATATGTAATTAGGGCATGTTTGACGCACATTTTTTTGACAAAAAAAATGCATTATTCGAGCGTTGCATTGGCAAAGGAACTGACTATTGTCTTTCATCCTGACACAACGTTTTTAGAGGCTGTCGGCTTTTGCATTTTTGTTTTGCCTTTTTCCCTTTTTTTACCCCTAACCATCCAATTAATCCCCAAATTCACCTTCTAACTCTGCAAATTGGGGAGGGCAGAAGTGGAAAATGGCAGAAAAATCTTTAATGTTGCACAGTGGAAGTTTGCACACTGGGCCCCAATCAACTGCATCATGGTACTGTGCAACTGTCTAAATTTTTCTAAAATGACCAAAAAATGTGAATCAAATGGGGCTTAATATATTCTTTAACATTCTACACTCTAGTATTGTATCTTGTATCTTGTCTCTTATACCTTTTTTCCGGTTAGACTAATAAAATATAATCTTAAGTTCCCAATCAAAATGGGTCCATGGTAGAAGAATAAATCCCGGTACTCAAAGTGAGTTTTGCTTGGCTCTATCTGAAATGTGTACATGGCATCTCACTTCACTTTGAACTACTACGTATCTCAACTAAAATGTACATAACCATAAGAATTTGTCATAATATAGAAAATTAAGTTGAATACTCGTATTGGTCCATTTAAATTGGTATTCTTACTATTCCCACTAGGCAGAGTAATGTAAAATAAACCAGCTTTGGGAAGATACCTCTCATATATGTAAAAATCATATAGTATATATGTGCATCATACTTAATCTCAATATTAAGCTCCAGTCTTGTCCTCATTTATTATTATTATTATTATTATTATTATTATTATTGTCAAGAATTGATTTTCATTAACAATTATGTAGGACTATTTTGTATTTTTATAATATTTTTGGCAAAACGAAGTATGACACAAAAGAAAGGTGATATCTCATTATATCCATGCTTTTGCTTTTAACAAAGACGATTACCCTTGTTTAAATTTTCAGTTTGATGCATAATTTCGCCAACAAGAGTGGTAGGTTTTGTTTATTTGATGTCAAGGGTATTATGGTCTTTAGGCACACTTAATTGAGGGGTACATTTGATACTTTAGAGAAAAGTGTAAATAGGAGTATAAACTATTACAACGGTTACTTTTTGGAACTACTTTACATTTAAAAATTTCAGTTCTCAAAGTAGCAAATTCTACTAGAAACCAAATTCTTAACAAACACAAGCAGGTGCTAAATTCATTGGGGGTGTTATGTACATGTGCTAACGTAATAACTCTTACCATGAAGAATGTCGATGAGTACTGCACTTTACACACCGAGATAAACTAGCATATATATCTATGTGATTTATGTTACTTACAGCACTACTGCAAGTGAGTTACTAAATATTTTTGTTTCTAGGAGAGGTTGCGGCTGCACAACATTAAAATCCAAGTGAATCCTTAAAACATAATGTATTTAGCTTAGCCTGCTTCATCTTCCATTAGACGTTTGGAGAATAGTTCTATTTCTTCTAATAGTTGTTTCTTCCAGCTTGGAGATCTCCGATGGTCAATATAGGGAAATGACTGGGTCATGAGGCTTATGAGGAATGCACGAGCTTTCCCTAAATCGTCTAGGTTTTCACATGTCTTCTCCTTGTGCCCCTCTGCACCGGTATCTTGGATTTCATTTGTGTACAAGTGTCTCCGGCATGCCTAACACATGAATAATAATGTTAGCTTTCAGAGGAAACTTCTAAAAGAGCTGAACACCCTTTATAGTTAAAGAAATAAGCTATCTGTGAAAGAAACGCGTCTCCCTTAAATGACAGTTGCCGTCAACATTTTGTTAAGTTAGTAACTAGAATGCATGATGTTATGCATAGATTAGGGATTGGACAAACTCTAGGCATTTAAAATTGGAAAGTAAATCTACTCTACTTTGTGGCATTGAATGTTTCGATTGACTTCTGAGACAATACCAGATTGGAGCGTTAAAATGGAAGTTAACCAACTGTTTCGCAGCATGTTTATAACTTATACAACCTTTTACGCTTCTCTTGTTCTTTATTACTTGTCTTCTCAATGATTCAGATAAGTGGTCGACAAGTCAAGCCAGATAAAGAAGAAGCAAGATATATCATTAAGGTTGATTTACCTGGAAAACCCGATTTAGATCAGCAATATGCTCAGGTTTCAGATACCCAGAATTCAGAAGCTCCCGAAACAAAAGCACCAATTCAGTGCTCACGTTGTTCGGTGATATGTTCTGAATAACACTGACTATGGAAGAATCATCAAATACCGTAGTCATCCAGGGAGGAATTTGGTCTAGTTTTAGCAACGAAATTGCAATATTAACTGCAGGCTTATGTTGAATCATGGAAGAGTTTGATGTCACGGACGGAGTTGCCAGAGACATCACTAGCTCCTCTATTATCAGTCTGCACCAACTGTTCTTTACAGAAGCTATAGATTCAATTTCTACCTCTTTCCAAGTCATGAGAGTCGATAAACATTGGGAACAATTTGCAGATACTCTGATGTCACTATAAAATATCAAGCCTTCTAGTACTGCTCTCATGGACGACAGGTAGCCTGTTCTGAATTTTAAATGAACTTGATTTCTACTTCTATGGTCTGATATTCCAGTAAATATTTGCAGAAGACAAAATGAAGCAATTAGTTTTACTGGAGGTGATCCAAAATGCATCAACTTGCACAAGTCATGTCCTCGGATGCTGACATAGGATAGTGGCTGAATCTCACAACCCTCATCAAGTAAATTCCGAAAGTCTACCATACCTGGTAGAATAGCTTGTGCACTGATGCATTAGTGATGTCAGTTTAAACTAGTATGGTAAAATAGTAAGTTGTGTAGGAAGAATTTGGTAGTGTTACCTTCTGAGAGAGAAGAAGAGCAGTGACAACACGCTTATTAGAATTTCTCCTGTTTTTGTTCCCTCATCATGGTCAAGCAGAGCAGGTCCCTTTGAACAGGCTTCTGAGACACTGTTATTAATTATTGAGACCAAAGGAGCACTCAAGAGTATAATCTTGGAAGCTTGTGTCATTGCCTGATTCGTAGAGTGGTACAAAACTAGAGAAAGAATGAGAAGTATTATAAGACCTTCTTCAGTCCATCCGTCAGCAGCTACCATTGAGATCATGTAATCCATCGACTACAATTTAAGATGAAATGTTATTTGGCTTTCAGGAAGTAGATAAAATTGTCAATGAATGGGGTAACTTTTTTATACCTTTATTGTAATCCCAACCCAAGCTTCATCATTAGAAATTGATTCAGAGTGTACCGATCTTAGAATGCTAAAAACAAGTGGAGTGGTGGAACTGAAAACTTCCGGAAAACGAAAATTTGACCCATAATTGATATTTTGTAGAACACCACCTATCCCATACATGCATAATTGATCTGAAGCAACTGGTGCAATTTCAATGATTTTGGTAATTGCATTTACTACTGAAATGATATCGTGCTCTTGGTTGGCATCTTCCACGAGTTCTCCTAATAAACATACCAAAATCATTGCTCCAAAGTTATCTCCGAATGATATCAACTCAGCAATTACTTGCAAATCAACGCTTTGACTAGTTTTTCCATAAGGAACTATATAATTACCAATTGAGTTGTTGATGCAAAGCTTCAACATCTGTTTGGACAATGACTTGCAGAGTTTTTCTTGTTGGAACAACCATTTTAGTGATGTCAAATGGATTCTTGTAGAAAGAGAATCCCAATCATTTTCAGCCAATAGCTGGAAGAGGATTCTTTCTGCTTCTGGGCTATAAGGTATTTGGTAGCTCATCTTGGCAAAACCCCTATAAAGCCCATAAAGATTTACTAGTAATTCTAATGTCACTGAAGCAGTAGATCCAGAGAAGAATTCACTGCTATTGAGTAGAATATATTGCTCCAGAGAAGCTAATACCAACCTATCATCTGCAATCCTAGCAAAAAGAATAGAACAATTCAAATGAGCATGTTTGAGTGTGCTTAAAAGTTACTTTTCTAGGAACTAAGTTGATACTTTCTAGATAAGTAAATTTTCCCATAAAATAATTAAGAAAATCGTGATAGGCAACATATGTAACTCAAAGCACAGCTAAACATGTCAACTTTGAAAGAGGAGTCATATGAGGAAATGAAGAACTTAGTTACCTATCATTATACAGAGAGCTAATATATAGTATCAGCAGAACTGCAGATTGACAACAAACCAATTCAACATTATGGGAAGTCTTCTGACCCAGAAGGAATAGCAAATCTGTAGGGTCTGATGGCAAATGGGGAGCAGCATCTCTAATGGGTTGCCCATAATCACTCCCTAGAAGCAAATCCACAATGGAACTGAACATCAGATACACCCTCCATTTCATCTTTTCCGTAGAAAATAAGCCTAAGCATCCAAATAAAACGCTGAACCAGGATGATGAAATTAGGATATCAGTAAAATTCCTGGCTTCGGTATCCGAATCTTGAAGCAGTATTGAATGAAATGTTTCAATTACTCCCAGGACAATATCCTCCTCTTCTATCTCGTTGATGGTTGTCACGAACCAAGGTAATATTTGCAATTTACATATCTCCAGAATAAAATATTTTAGTCCTTTGTTAGTAGAGATGGTAAGATTATCTTCATCAGCATATGCATATGCCTCCTTCAGTAGATAAAGAGAGTGCAAAATATGTTCAGGATGCATAGTTAGACAATTCGAAGTTGCAGATTTTAATGCATCCCTTATTGATGCTGACAAACTGGAATTCCCAAGAGAAAATGAACATTTCATGAGAACAACGAATGTTGAGCATGACAAAGTGAATGTCTCTTGAAGCATGCCTATCTCGCCATCAACATGTTTCTTAAACATCCCAGCTAAGATAGTACTTATTTCTTCAAACTGAGAGGTGGATATTATTCCAGGACAGTTTGAAACACAGTTTGAAATAAGCTTCAATGATTGACATTGAACAGGATGAAAAGGAATATCAGCTACATAACGAAGAACCGAAACTAAGGTTGTGAAACCAATAGCAAGTCTTTGCCTGAAGGCTTGTTCAGCAGTTGATAAAACGTCGAGAATCAGTATGGAAGAGTTGATAACTGAATCTTTGCATCCTGGAAAATGTCAGGAAGGAAGAGAAAAAGAAAAAGGGGAAAAAGTTTAAACTATATTAACATGAAGTTTGGTGTGTGGAACACTTTGCAAGCAACGAGCACACACACAGTTAATAAGCCCTGGATAGATTTGAAAATTGGCAAATCAAAGCCATGGATAGCATAATCATTTCATGAAACAGAGCGGTTTAACTGCACCTATACTTGAAGATGAGACCTGCATGGACTATTTCTTAGAAATACTGAACTTTGTGTCTGAAACAATAATTATTAATTGAGGCTTTTGCTAATGTATGAAGCCATGATAATGTAGTCACGAATTAATATTTTCATATTGAATTTCTGAATACAGAATCCTCAAAACGCCAATATTGGTTGTTGTTTCTTGATCTTGTGTATAGGTATATAACACTTGGGAAAGTATAATCAAACACCTCATGTTTCCTCGGAGTTTACCTGACAGTCTCAGTATTTCAAATATATAATCTGCAAGATTCTCTTCCACCAATACTTGTACTTTTCCTGATCCACCGTCGCATGAAAGATACACGAGGATTAAATCCAATGTGGCAATTTGGACTTGGCTGTCTGAAGAAAGCAGAGGGCCTTTGACAGCCTCAGCAAACAAGACTTCCAGAGGTGACCCATCCATCGTGGACTCCGTTGTCTGCATGATGTTGTCAGCTTCCAAGGCATCCCTGCAACCTAAATAATTTGCACATGCACTCTGGAAGAAACCTCTCCTGGCCAACACTGTCAAAAATGCTACACAGGAAGAAGAAATGAAGAGGAAGTCGTGTAATTACCACACAAAATAGAAGCATGTGCAAGCTAATGCAGTGTCATCATGTGCTGCAAGTAGCATAAATAGTTTTGGGAGTCTCTTCAGATAAGGGGAAAAAAAAAAGTGTAGAGAATTTCAATCTTCCAACATAATCGTCACAGTTGTAAAAGAAAAATTGATCATATACGATTGTGTAAACAAATAAATAATATTCTTTGAGAAGCAGTCTATAGGTGAAACAACTGCAAACCCAGGAAAAGTTTAACCGCAAATGCTTCTTGTGTTCACGGGCAGAATAACAAATATTGCACGTTGAATGAGAAAAAATTCAAAGAGAAGTGTCTGAAAGAATCCCACCTACACAGTTTAAGCGAACATCATCACTTTGAGTTTTCACAAGGGCTTCCAAAGAGAGGTGCAGAAGCTTGGGACAACGGGGAAATAACACATCTACACAGTGACCATCCATATATGTGTACTGGAGAAGGGATATCTTGTACAAAACGAACATGATCTCCCCTTGGATCTCTTCACTATATATCAAGGAAAACAAAGGTGTCTCAGGAAAAAGTTCGTTCAAGGCAAAGGAAAGTACAGTCAGCTACTACAGTAGTTCCACTATCACCTAGCCAGCTGAAGACCTGTGACAAGGTTTAAAACGAGAGAATCTGTGTCTTTGATGCAGGCATAGTGACTATTTTCCTGACTATCCAAAAGAACGCCTAAGCAGTGAAGCTGCATTCAACAGAAAATGAGTTTGCAAGGGACACGATAAAGAAGACTTGGCTTAAGGATAGCCTATTCTTGGCATTTTCAGATGTACATGAAAGATAAAACCGAGCAATTTTGGAAGAATCTGATATGAATACGACATTGTCTACAAATACTATTTACACACACCCTGGGAAATACAAACACGTTCAAGAAAACACTGAATTTATAAACCTAGGATATCAGATTTAGTTTCGAGCTAAACGAGTATTTAATAAAAGCAATCAGAAGTAGGAAGAAGCATGTACTTTTGATCTTAAATGGGGACATCTAATGCAACTAGCAAACATTTTTGTAGCATGAGTGAATGACATCGGTGTTGGTTTTATAATAGGTGAAAGTATTATATAATAAACTCAATTTTTCCAAACAGCCATCAAAACTCATTAATTTCCATCAACTTTTCTCAGCACTCACAGCCAACGAAACATGAAATCTTGTGAATCAGAAATAGTAAAATTAGAATGTTGGTGTTATTTTTACTGCCAGCGAAAAGGAAAATTCGATCTTGGTGTACAATAGAACTATTATAGTACACTAAGGTGCACTGACGTTAGAATTGTACATTTGACTTTGGCATCTGCACCTTGCTTTGAATGCAAAAGCTCATATTTTATTCATTGATCACTGGAACTAAACTTCCACAAGCAAACGCCAACCCACATTGGACAAAACTGAGCAAAGTACAATCTTCAAAGCTTCATATATTATTTGTTGAATGATGTCCTTTCAACATAAGTACTTCAATATTTTGTCTAAGAAAAACAATGCCCCAGTGATCTCACTGATATTTAGTAAAAAAATTAATAAATAAACACCAAACCTTTCAAAAAAATACAATTTGCAAAGCTTTACGAACAATACGCTAATTCCATACGTTTGGCTTTGCTAATCATCATTATCTCTGTTGATTAAAATTTTGGACATTCCGATACTACAAGTATATTACAATTTTACTATCATGCAAGGTGCTTCATTTGACGATGCAAGTTTTGTTATCAGTAAGGTTTGTTAATTAGCTCCCTGCTGTTTTATCAAAAATTTCCAAAATTAAACATAAACATCTTACATTGAGAGTAAACCAAGGTGTAATGTGGACAATGCACGAGAATTGAACATTTAGCTTCAATACTACTACCTTCCCAATGAGGCAAAAATCCATAATTATCTCATCAGAAAAGTTCTGAGAAATAAATCAAGGTACCGTTCTTATGCACCTAATTTATATCTGTACCTTGCTCAAATTATAAAACCTATTTATTAGATACAAATTATGAATGAATCGCGGCATAATTCATCAAAATTGTCGGACAGAGTAATATTACTTGAGAATCAATATTATGTACCATATACAACTGTCTGCGGCTCCAGGCCAGCGATCCGCTGGAGAGCCGATCAGAAACCGCAGCCACGAACTCCTTATATACATCGTGGTTATACTCACTGTGATTATTTGAAGCCTCGCAGATATTGACAATTAAGTCGATAGTCTGTTTTGCTATGGGCTCATCATCGAAATTGGATAAAACCGAGACGAGAGGGGAGATGAGGAAGTGAGAGTGGAAGGTAAGAAAATTACGTAGAAAGAGAGGCTGCGAGAGGGCTTGGAAGAGCTGTGAGAGAGCATAGGAGACGTGTACAGTGGGGGAATTTGGGTTGGAGAGTAAATTGGAGAGGCAGAGGAGGCAAATCGAGCCGCCTTCAGCGGTTGGGAGGATGAGGTTGGAGAGGTGACCCTGGGAGCACAGCGGCGGCGGTGGAAGCGGAGCTGAGGTGGCGGAGTACATCACTGAGGAGAGAGAGAGGGCGGGGGTGCTTTGAAAATTGAGCATAAATGAAAGGCGGGAAAGGAAGTTTATGCAGGATGGAAGAAGCCAAATGGCCAAGGCCACAAGTGCCCTGGTCATCCAGGGGTGCCACTCCATATGGGATTGAGAGCAAGGGTAATGCTGTAATTAGAGGGACCTTTTGAGGTCAAAGATCCATAAAAATGGAATTAAAAATGGGTAATTAAGAGGCTGTCTGTGATTGATTAAATTAAGTGGAGAATGTATTTTAAATAGTGATTTGATGGAAAATATGTTGTAAAAAAATAAGAAAAAGTTTTGAATTTACGTGTAATATTATTTTATTGAAAAATGCGTAGTTGAAAATGAATTTTGAAAAAATAAATTTTTATAAGAATGTGGATCAAACTGAGTGTAGGAGTAATTATATTACCACCATAAAATTTATTTAAGTACACCACATTTTTTAATTTTTTTCTTATGGGTTTTGTATATTAGTACACGGTATATAGCCCCCCTCACAACAGAAGATTCCACGAATTTTTTATTTGATATGGGCCCCCTCTTTTGTGTGCGGGTGTACACCTCGATGTACAAATAGCAAAATCTTTTTCTTATTTACTTAAATAGCTGTAAATAAAATTGCATAATTATGATTAATATACTTTTAATTATTCACACATATTATAATCACACCACAAAAATAATTCCTTTCTACAATTGTACAACAATGGACCATAATGGTAAATGTGAAATACATAAACTCTAAAAACTACCACATTCCATAAGGCAAAGCTGCTATTGAGATTGTTTCGGGAGTCTCTGGAATACAAACAGCAAAACCACTTTTCAATGGTTTTAATTGTAATTTGGAATTCATGCTGGGAGACGCCAATGAAGAGAGAGAGATCCGAATAAAGGAAAAAAAAAATATGTGCATTTATGAAAAGGATGTTTTCTACATTTTTATTATTGTTATTACATTAGGTATATAATTATAAATTTATTATCATGTATTTTATTGTGACGTATATATAATGTGGTGTGGATTTAACATTTTGTGGTAGTAATATAATTACCCTTTTATTAAATACAAACCACACTTTTTTTATTTACTTAAATATTCTTGAGTAAAATTACATAATAAGGATTTTAATATACTTTTTAATTAAATAAATTATTGTTACACTATAAATATAAAATATAATTTATTTATTTCTTTTTCCTCAAGATCTCATTGCTCAAAGTTACTCTAGCTACTTTTGCTTTCTTCTACTGTCAACAAGATAATTTTCTTTTCCTTACAGTAAATGAATTTATATTCTATTTGACCACGATTTA